CAATTCTATGTAGCAAGTTATTCAATTTCAAGAAAATAATGACTAATTTTGGGACAATAAGTCATTATTAAGTCTAAAATGCAGAGAAAATCCCTTGTTTCGAGATATCAGTCCATTTAGACATATGAAGCCATTTTTTCAACATTGTACGTCATTATTTCTAAAGTATATTGAAATAATTTCCTCATACGTTGATTTATTTTCTTGAAACTTGAGTTATTAAGACTAAATTCTGATATAGTACTCTTTATCAGTTCTTCAAGGGTTCTTTAGTAAAAACAGTGGTTTTATCTAGAACCATGAACACTCAAAGAATTTGCATGCCTAAAGGGTTCTTTGCATGGTGAAATGGTTCAGATTGACAGAGAATGTGTTGGATATGGTTCTAATATAGAACCTTTTTGAAAGTGGTTCAATATAGCGCCAAAAAGGGTTCTGCCCTTGACGAGCTTGACATCGTAACAATAGAAGAACCCTTTTTAATGCTATTTGGAACCCTTTTCATTTCACCATGCAAAGAACCCTTTTAGAACCATCTTTTTTAAGCGTGTATGTCAAAATAATGAGTTATTCAATTTCAAAAATTATTTTGGGAATATGTCAAATTTTTGACATGCTGCTGCCAGAAACAGCAGAAGAAAAAAAAATCACACATGATCTACTTGTCGCAAATGGGCTTCTGTAAGAGTCTCTTAAGAGCTGCAGTGGAGCTTCACTCTACCTCCAGCATCAGTGAAGGAAATGATGTTTGGCAGGTGGCATTCGTCTCTTTGTGGGATCCTTTGGCCTGAAAATAAAATGCTAAAGCTCCAAAGTGAGAGATGTGACCAGTCAAAGAGCAGCACATGAGCTGAATCAACACAACAGAATGAACTTTAACCCCAAAAAAGAATTTAACAAAATTTCAACATCAGTGATGAAGAATGAGGCTCCTTTCTTCGCAGATAGTCGACCTGAGCAGAAGCGAAAGCATCCATTGGAAAAAAAATATACACCGTCCACAAAGGCAGTCTTGTAGTAGCAACTGTTTCTAGATGACAGAACCAATTCAACCTAATGAGAAGTTGTACATTATTATTATTATTCATTTCAACTTATCTCTATTTTACCTGTGTGTGAAAGGTTCCACTGTTAGAACAGATCCGTTCCAGAGACACTTACCGAGTCAGAGCTGTTCACAGTGGCGGTGACAGGAACCAGAAAAGAGTTTAATGAGTCTAAAAGCTACATCATTACAAATTTCATCGCTGTCAGACAAAAACTTGTACCTGCGAAATGCCAACTTGTCAAGAAAAGGATAAAGAAAACATTCTTAAGTTTTAATGGAAGTTAATGTAAAGTCATTTTGGAGCATGTCTATTGGTCCATTCGTCATGAAATTTTGATGCGATGTAGAGGACAGCTAGTGTTTTCAAACTGTGTAAAAAAGAGACAGAAATAGGTACAGGGTTTTGTTCTGACAGCAACGATAAGCTGACGCCTGAGGCATTGTTTAACAATCGCTTTACAATTAAAACTGAGGCCTACAACGTGTTTTTCATGGTCCTAAGACAAAGCACTCCACAAAGAAAACATCTTTCAGATTTAGCACTATTTCACCATCTTCAATTTCACTGAACTACACACTGTCGCTGTCCAAAAAACGCCAAGTATCTTCATTTTTTGCAGTTTTCAGTTTTCTGCCTAGTTTGAGCTCAGCAGCTCAGTCTTTCATATTGTGTGAAAAGTTCATGATGAATGGACCGATAAAAATGCTCCAAAACTGCTTCCATTAAAATCCCTTAACACTGACTTATACTGAAAGTGAAGAATGTTTTTGTTCCCTTATTTAAAGTCATCATTTTGGATAGTTACTTGTTTTCCTTTGGACAGCGACAACATATGAATTCAGAAGGCAGGTGTGCAAAAAAATTGTGAAATTCTGTGGGATTCCCCTTTCAGTAAAATGGTGCACCGAGCTCTGGATCACAGACAGGACGGACAGAAAAGATCCAAACAGAAACAATACTCTTAACGGTAACCAGCTCAGCATGCTAGCCATTAGCGCATGAGTGCGCCTCTCTGGCTCATCATCACTGGACAAACATCGAATTATGGACCATTACATCCACAACATGGGCTTGACCTTACAAAGGTGGCAAAACAAAAGGCATCAGAGGAAAAAAACAGAAAACTAGCCCTACGAACAAACAGCTTTGCTTCTATCTGATGTGATCGTGTGAGAATGAGCTGTTTGAGAGTGCAGGTGTGAAACTCCAGTCCTGCAGGGCCTCAGCACTCCGCTAATGCACCCATTCAGCTCCTGAAGGGCAGCATAATTAGCTGACGTTTTGAGCCAGATGGGTGTTAGAGTGAGGAAAATACACTGGTGTCGTCCTCCAGGACCAGAGTTAGCTTCCATATAAGTATGAGAGCTGGAGGGAAACGGAATAAAAATAATGAACTGATGAAAATAAAGCTGCACTATGTAAGTTTTGCAGATTTGGAGACCCCTCTGGTGGAAATGTGTAACTGCACGCAACATGCAGAATGCTTGGTAATGTGGGTTGTGCTTCGGACCCCTTCCCTGAGTGGAGGAATCTGATGATTGTAAGTGCGTTTAAAGAGAATTCAAAGAGAACTCAGTCAAAACCTGAAGGATGTTGCTTCTGAAGATGTGAGTGAATGATCCTATGATCCTAATGATATTGAATGAATTGTCATCATAGCCTCAGCAGCATCGTGTTGATTTTGCATTTGAGACCTCAATATCAAGCGAGACCTTCTTCAAGTCAAGCAGCACACATAAGACCACTGACCGACCTTTTTGAGTGTGGTTTTGTTGTTTAAGCACTTTGGCTGTTGGCCAGTCAACATGGTGTCTGCAGTGATCTGCACATAACATCATATACAGAGTACTACATTTTCACTATACAGGAAACACGGTCATCAAATAACACCAAGCACAGACAAAACTCATAAAGAAAATTTAATATCATACATAAATTGTTCTCACAGCTTTTTTCATAACCAAGTTAATCTAAAAAATGGTCCACATGACCAAGGCAAATTCTCTAAGCGTCAAGAAAACAAATTTGACTTTCACCTGTATGACCCTCATACTGAAGGCCAGGGCAGTAAAAACCATCATCAAAGCCTGACCATCCCTTAATTGAGAAACAGCTGGCTGGGTAATGTCAATCCCCACTGAGCCTGCCACATGGTTTCATCTCCTCTCTAGACTTTTTCCCCACATCAAAGACACAAAAATACCTTGTTGGACACTCCACTGGTCACTCGTATCTGAGCCTGACCTCTTACGAGTTGTCTGTCAGTCAGAGATATGACTTAAAAGAACACACTTTATTTACAGAGGCCGCTGAAGGAAGTGAACGACTGGTAGGAGAGTCTTTGCCTGAAGGCTAACTGGAGATTTAGAAGTTGTCCACAAGATCCATGACCCTTTTCTGCTCGCTCTGCCGGAACTCCTCATTTTTGCCATCGCCGATGCTTTCTGCATATTCTGGAAAACAGGAAGGGAGAAAACGGTTCGATCGGTGGGTTGGATTCATTTATTACACATAATGTGCTGAAACCTGCTGCATGCAAGTCTATAAGAACATGAAGCCCATTTTACCCTAAACATTCCAGGTTTATTTCATTCTAAGGCTTATTATTCAGTAACTACAGGGACTTCAATGCAAATTAACAGGGGTATTCTAAGGTTATAGAAGTGTGTAACAAAACTTTGTGCTGTTTATCTGATGGGGGCAGTGTTGGTGTCTACCAGGTGTTGCAGGTGGTTGTTAAGGGGTTAACTCAAAAAACTTCTATCAAAAAGCAGAACAGGAAAAATATTAATGCCTCTGAACTGTGGTACTGAAGACTTTTTAGAGGGCCTTGGCCAGCCAAGGAAACAAACTGTCCTTTACCAAACTAAATAAAACCACACCTCTTCATGAAAAGAGCCAATTCAGTCCAATTTGAAAAGACAATTATGCTTGGAAACCTTTGGTTAAAGGTAAATTAGAGATGATGATCAGCACAAGATGCATGGAGGAATCATGAACAAGCCATTGAGAAGCTTACAGACCCACACAGTCAGAATATTCTGGAGAAACACCATCCATATGGTCAGAAGGAGTCTGAATCAACGTGAAGTACAAGTTATTCATTTTTTAGATGTTTCTGAGGAAAACAGATATGATGATACACTTGCATAAGGAAGGGAAAATAAGTGAAAAACAGGAGTTTTTATAAGGTATGGAGAAAATGGGACTCCTAACAACCACCTGCACCACCTGTTATACACAAAAAAAAACTGCCCCCATCAGATAAACAGCGCTTAAAGCTTTCATCTTTGAGAGAGAGGAGAAAATCAAGCTGCTTCAGATCTGAAAACATCCAGTGTTTCTGTCCATCCTTCCGCTATGAGAAGACAACTCAGCGCTATGAGAAGACAACTCAGCGCTATGAGTCTGAGAGGGTGTGTAGCTGCAGAAAGAGAGTCTCCTGAAAAGTATGGAAGCTGTAATAAAGGTAAAGAGTGACACACTAAATACTGAAAAATGATTAAATATAGTTGAGGCTTCTGTGTAAGTTTCCGCTAAATCCTTTGAATAAGTTAAAAATCCTTTGAATAAGTACGTAATGGCTAAACAAACAAATGAAGGATGGTCTCTGACTTTTGCACAGTACTGTATATAAAATTGTAACTGTATATAAACTATTCAAACCCAGTGTGGATGCAAATAAGCATACAAGCATACATTCAGTTGCTGTGCTATTAAGAAGAGTGAGAAAAGGCTCCCGTCTGCAGTTTCAGCGTTGCAGGATGAGTGGAGGCTAAGAGCTGCGAGCTCCCGCTTTAAAGCTTTAAATGCCAAATACGATTAAAAGCAGCAGCACTTAAACCTGCATCTGTGGAAATGCGGAACGACAGACAGACGGACGCACACAGATCCCTTCACCACCTCACCTGCTCCGGTTCCCAGCACGGCTGCGCTTTAAGTTTAACCCCTTAAATATGCGCTTTCTATAACCGTGACACACTAAACAGATTTTCATTTGGCATGAAAATGAAAGAGTGTTAAAAATGACTGAATTTTCAAACTAAATTCTACAGATAAAAATGCTTTACCTAGTCATTTTCTGACCAAAAAAACAAAAAGAAGCTTTGTTTTCTTGAATAAAGAACGCTGACATGTCAAGAATTTCATGTATATCATAAACTGTGTGCACATTTTCTTCTGCTTGGCCTCCCTCACTTGACCAAGCTCAATATACATTGAGCAGTCATTTATAATACCTGATGTGCTACGGCTTGTTGTATCTGAAAGGTGGTTACATTCCTCTGAGGTTTTCCATTAAATACAGATTTTTTTTTTCTATAATTAAACTAAGGTTTATCACCTCCCCCTTAATCCAGCTGAGCTTTCCCCGCTTTTCTCACCATGGTTTGTTTTGTTGGTTTGGTAATCCTGTCACAGAATGTACGCATAACTGCATTACGTTTCCCGTCAAAAACATTTCTGATGTCATTTTTCACAGCATTTCATGTTTTGACAATTTACCAAAGGTTTTGGTCACACCTTATTTTCATAGGCGCCGATAGTTTATCTATAGTTTATCTTTAACTGATTCAATTAAACCAGGCATGTCAAACTGGGGACCCTCCAGGGCAAAGTGCTGCAGAAATTAGCGTTTACCCTCATCTAATGCTCTGAATTCAGTTCATGAAGGCCTTGTTAATTAGCTGATGAGCTGAATCAGGTGTGTTTAATGAGACAGTGTTCTGAAATCTGCAGTGTTTTGGCCCACGAGGACTGGAGCCTCACGTGCATTAAACAGTGTGTGGGTTGGATTTAGGAATAGGTTCCAGATTGAAGTTAAGGTTTCGATTTAAGAAGAATCATTAAAATTCAACTTATAATTCATTTGCAACTTACAGAAATTTCTTTGAATGTTAGTTAAACAGCATATAATACGGCAGATCATAATGCAGCAGATCGCTCCTTCAACATAAAGTGAACATTTACAAAGAATCTACACTGGACTCTCAAAAAAATGACCAATAATCACCATTTCTATCCGCTACAGCAGTGGTCCTCAATGTCTTTTACCTCAATGGTCCACAAATTCAGAAGAAACTCAACAATACGCCATGTCGGGTGCACAGCTCTGGTCCTGGAGGGTCTGTGTCCATCACAGTTTGGTGATTTACCTACTCAAACACACCTGATTACACTTATTGTTGATGCCCAGGTTTAGTGGGTGTGTTTGAGCAGGGAAACCTCCAAACTGTGACCATTTAAAATTATTATAGTTATATAATTATTATAGTTGAGATGTAAACAAAGTCATTCATGGTGGTCTGATGTGAAACACTCTGTTCTAGAGAAATGTGCAGAGCTGGGACAGTGGTGGTGATGGGAACCAGACTTCTGAAGAGTTTAATGCCTCTAAAAGCTCCTCTCACAGAAAGTTAGTAGAAGAAATGTTTATGAATGCGCTGCCTGGTGCCTGAAACATTGTCTTATGACAGTTTTAGAGAAGGTTTTGGCCTAAAACCTAAATTAAAATCTATTTATATTGCAGGAACAGGTAAAATAGTAAGAAAACATTCAGATTTACCACTATTTTACCATCATCTACACTACATATAAAAGTCAAAAGAAAGTGTAGGTTCACTGGTGGTTTTGGATAGTAGATAAAATGACTATATTTGTGTTGAACCCTGGTTCCTATCACAACCATTGTAAAGAAATCTTTGTCCATTAGTTTGTTTACAGTGAAACAGATCAAACCTCTGTGAATGGCTTGAATTGCATGTTTTAAAAATTCCCCTTCATTGCCTTTAAAAGCGACTTCAGAGAAAGTTATTACATGAAATGGTTATGAACACTTTGCTTGATGTCTGAGACAACAGTTTTAACAGTTTTAACAAGGTTTTGGCCTAAAATACATATATATTTCATACATTTATGATGGAGGGGCTACATGCAAGACATTGTAGGGCGAAACAGCCCCCAAAGAAAACTTATGTTTTTCAGGTTTTCCACTATTTTACCATCACCAACGTTACATATTAAAAACCCAGACGACACATGTAGATTCACTGGTGGTTTTAAATAAATAATAAACAAAATGGCTACATTTTGAAAAATTGATGGAAACCCTTTTAAATGTTAGCTGCCACAGGAGCCATTAGCACAAACCTAGCAGGCCATTTGATCCACGTCATCAAACGGTTCAAGACATTTTCTGCACACAATCCTTCGGACTGGAGTCTGTCCATCCTCTCTTTTTCCCCTTCACCACGACACTCACTTTCTCACTCCTACACACACCCTCTCTCTCTCTGAAGCTGGAGGGCTACAGGCAGCCCCTCTCCCAGCACTGTGCTCTTTGAAGGCAGGCTATTTGAAAGTGTAATGGTCAGGGAGAAGAGCCGGGCGTGGAGACACGTGTGGATTACTCCCTGAGCCCAACTCGACCTCCGAAAGCAGCGGGAGAAAGATCAAAACCACTAAAGAAGAAAAGGTTAAATAAAAAGAAAGAAGAAGTCGACAAGTGAGGACTGCCAAAAGAGGAGGGAGAGAGGGTGGGAAACACAGACACGGCAGAGAATCGGGATGGCATTTGCATACTGTATAAATGGAGAGAGGAGGATAATCCCTGTTTGAGCTCAGAGGTGTTGGAAGCCTCAACCCTGCGCGCTCCATATTCTTTAATACACAGCTCAAGGTCGCACACATCGTACACGGCAGAGGAGCACATCTGCACACTGTTCTCCACAATAATCCGAACAATCTAGAGCAAAACTGTCGACTTGAAGATGAATTTGCTGAAGTTGTTTAATCCTTAAGAGGCACAGAAATAACAAGCAATAACAAAAGCATTTTATATATTTATTACAAATTAAGTTTTGTTAAAAGTGCAGACTCTAAACTTTCCATCAGTACCACATTTGTGCTTGTAGTTAGAAGGAGAAACCTTATTATGATCTGAATTGGTGTCCCCTTGCCTTAAAAACAGCGCCTATCCTGTACTACACCACTCTTTTGAGACTCGAGACAGTTAACGTCCATTCTAGCCCACTTTTCCACCAACTGGGAGACCATTTCAGCCAGAGTTTGGGTACCTATTTCATTGCTTCACTTGCTGTTCCAAACTGAGAACTGAAATCGAGGTCTGGTTATTTTGCTGGTCAGTCAAACTGTCCCAGTGCTCCATCATGTCTGTTGAACCGGTCACATATTAACACCCAACAGTTCTCATCCTGGAATGTTGGAGTGTCAATGGTGTGTTCTGCTCAAACACGAAGCACAAAGTTAGTGGACGAGTGGGCTAAAACGGTCATGAACCATCTTAGAATACTGGTGTAAACTTTACCCAACAGGACTGTCGATGACCTTTACCGAGACCTATAACCAAGTCTTAGAAAAGAATGATGCAAGTGGCTCATTTCCGTCCGGGAAGCTTGTGTATGTAAATTATGCAAATGAAATGTATCGCGAAAAA